GGAGTAGAGTGAGCATCTCCGATGGTATATATATATATATATATATATAACACGCTTGTTTTGTCCGATATTGTATACTAACGTCTTCCGCATCATAATAGATGCAGAGGTGACGATAAAACGCGGTTGATATACCCTAGTTGTATGTACAATGAAATACATTTGTCCAAGTTGTCGTTTTGGTGTGCCGAGAAGTGTGGATCGGCTACTTTTTGTACCTATATCATTGATACATTACTTATATACACGCTCTACATAATTATGTGAGTACATATTATACATGTATATATATATACACGTCACGCCATTGCATTTTCATTTGGATATTAAAATTTAAATTAAAAAAACGCGCGTCGATATGGTTGGTACATTCGATATGCCATTGCATTATTTAATCGTGGCTACTTAGAGGCTATAGTGTTTCAAACGTGTGCGCAATAATACCTATACCTATACCTATATATGTTGCGTTATTCGTATACCCTATATACTTTAGAGCGTCGTATCGAAATTCAACAAACTTATTGCGATCTCTTGTCCAACGACATGTAAGTGCAAGATCGGTTTCGCACGGCTTACACCGCGAGGTATCGTTTTAAAAAGTGGGTCCATCAAAATATTGTTTTTTTTTTTTAAAAGAACAAAAGTTTCAAGAATCTCTACGAGTGGTGTAATCTATAGGCACTTGAGATAACAACCATACCCTCCGATAATAATTAGAATTAAATGTTATAGTCATGCAATTATTATCTTTTTTTTTTTTTTTTTTCCTTCCAGTCAGTCAAACAGTGGTGGTGGACCCGAGGTCTGTACGGTCCCCAAGGGGTAACGGGCGACGCCGTGTGCCTTATCGTCCTGACTCCCCTGTGTCTCGCGGCAACGTACCTCTGCGGCGTCGGAGCCAGTGCTTACGCTCGGCTCGACTCCTGGGAGGGCACGGGCTTGGCCATTCTCTGCTGCATGCTCGTCATCACCTACTTTCTCTGGCTATTCGTCACCATGAGGTACTATTCAGTTTATTTACCTTTCTTTTTTTCTTCTTCTTCTTCTTCTTCTTCTTCTTCATTCTTACTCGTGTATATTTGTGTATATATTTTTCTACTTAGAGCGTTTTTGAGGGTCCGGTGTGCCCTCGGTATAGATTAAATAGTGTTCGGCGCCCAAGTGCCATCCATCCGGGGCTGCTTCGCAAGACCCTCGGGCCGCAAAATGGCCCCGGAGGCGATGGCACTTTTGTGACGAAAATTACCATAGGAAAAGAAAAAAAAACTATCGTAGTCTCTCTATCACTTGTCAGATAATTAAAGTAAATCCATATGAAACTGTAAATGAAGCTCTGTATATATATATTAATCGGAGCAGGGCTGCGAAGCGAAGGTGAATATTGGACTATTAACATTAACCACGTACGTCAGAATGTAGTCCGCGAGGAAGAGAACATACTACCTCCTCTATATACTTAATACACACACACACACACACACACACACACACATATATATATATATATATACATACGTAGCACCGGTAGTCGGGGTATAAGAGCGACGTGTAATATTTAAACGAAGACTATGCGGCAAAAGTTGAATGGAAAGTTTCCCCAATGCCTTATTGGGTTACCAGGGTTTCGTATCATTATTACCATATTTAATTTCACACGGAAAATTATAAAGGATGATTTGACTCTCTAAAGCACATTCCACAAAGCTCGTCCTTTCCTATACGCATATTACATATTTACGGTACACGTGTATAGATGTACGAAACGAGGGCTTTCAGATTTCACTACAAATCGTGGAAGCAGTGGTGCCGGCGCAACCAAGAAGTCAAGCTGCTCGCCAAATGTAAATTAAGCGACGAGGATCGGAAAAAAGCGCTCAACCGGCAGCAGCGCGGTGGTGAGAGGCCGGCATCGACTAGCGAACTCGACAGGCTCTGCGGATGGTTTGATTTCTCCTTCAGTCGACGTCCCGAGCCGATTTTCAATTTTCACCAGCAAACGACCTTCGTGTGACCCGAAATATATATATATATATCTTTTTTTTTTTTTTTTTCCCCACGTATATAATGTACGGTAACTACGGATTTTTACTGGCAATACAGTTGTGTGTATGTAAGTGAGCAAGTAAAAAAAGGGTGACCGCGTGATTTTTTTTTTTTTTTATCAAAGCTGCTCCACCGTGGAATATATTTGTGACTGTTTGAGATTCATATGATTTTTTTTAGTCCTGTGTAAATAACATGATATAACATACGTTACAACAAGTAGTGGTAAGCCTTTGCGGTAATTATTTTTTTAATCGTATATTGTACAATGATAATACATGCCTATACGTGTTCATACTCAATATGTTTAATGCATGTACAGATACATATATATGTATATATTGTTATGTGCATAGCTTATACGTGTAGTTAAGAGTTTCTCCGTTGTGGCGAATTGTGTATATGGAGCTTAAAAACAAAAAAAAAAAATACTCGACTGTAGCTTTTAAAATTCCCGTTAACTTATTTTGCAAAATGCATTATATTATTATTCTGCCACAATATCGCACAAGTGAATAAAATTATACGGCCACGTGTATTCCATTCGTTGACTTTTTAATACTCGCGTATCGAGTTAAACGACCGTACATGTGTGAGTGTGTGGAAGCAACCAATCACAATCAGCGTGCACATGTTGTGCATTTACCTTCCGATCATTAATAACTTTCACGTAAACTACATTATATATATGTACCAACAATCGAGACGGTGACAGTTTTTGTACTTTTTTTTTTTTTTTTTTTCGTGCCAAGGTCTTTGCGTCGGGAAGGGAGGCCTTTTTTTGTGTACCAAGGGACATTCTTGTGCCTGGCGAGTCGTCAAACATGCGTCTAGTCGACATTGATTCGTTTCCGAAGGAAGAAAAAAAAAAAAAAGATAGAAACAAACAAACTTTTGTGGAAAAAAAATAAAATAAAATAAAACATTAAGAAAAATTTACTCGACGCTTCCAGATTTGTTGTTTCAGTGGTAAAACAGTTGGAGAAAGCGCTTTTCAATAAATTGATGCAAAAAGAATTATTCACGCTTTTTTTGATCAAGATAATTTAACCCAACTAATTTTCAGTTGTAAATCTGATAACTTACAAAAATCTCGTTCGCGGGACAAATTAATTATTTAATGACAAGTTATTTCAAAACCATTAAAAAGCATACAATAAAACTGTTGAACTCGTTTGTGAACATATCATTATTGTATTATTAACGGTAAGAATAATTTATTTGAAGAAAGACATATTTTTTTTCATAAAGACTTATATACTTTCTTAAAACGAATTCAACCGCATTATAACGCACGTGCCACGACGAACTTACATACACGTGTTATGCACAAATGCAGTTATAAAAACTGCAAGTCACACAAGGACAAGTTCGTATAGAGACACGATATTAATTTATGATGGATGGTAATTGTATGGCTCAAAGCTCCAAGTGGAACGTATACATAAGCTTTTACCCGTTGACCCTCCTATATACATGCGCAGCCTAAATCTCATTTCGAACTGTTACACTTGTTTCAGGGATGACGGCTATTAAATACTTTGTTACTCGAAACCTCATTTACTGAGCTACTTTACATGGCACTTTAATTTTTTAGCCAAACGACATCGTACAGCCACGTTGAACGAATATACGTACGGAACATACCGGTATTTACTATATACATTGATTACAATATTTTATTATACAAGTTATTATTTCATATTGTCGCAAAACTTTGTATTTAATATTCATCGATTTCATGTACAGGAGAGATAAGCCAACAAGGATTCTTGTTGTATAATATTACTTTTGATGCTTTGGCGTTCGATGTAAAGACAAGCCAAACCATGTACACATATGTTTAATTCCCACCCTTAATCGTTGTTTACCGTCAAAGGTGGCGCTCGTGACTTTTTCCCGAACCGGTGAGCTTCGAGTGCATGAATTATGAAAAAGTTTGAACCCTCTCTCAACCCCCCCCCCCTGGTTTGAAAACTTTACACGCGCTCTCGTCCAAGCTCCGCTTTGAGGAAATCGACAAGCGCTTCCAGCAGTCGATCGCGACCTTGGGGAGTAAAGAGCTCGAGACTTTTCAACAGCCGCGTCGCGTGATCCCATCGATTCCGGTGCTCCGTTACAAGCCCCCCTCCCCCGAAACTCCCACGGGGGGGGACCCTTCTCGATTGCTGTTATATTCACACGGGTGTAATTATATACGCTAACTACCGTGCAGCCTAATTGACAAACGTGTACGCGTGTACGCGCGGAATCGATGAGAAAAAGATCGGTATGGGTGTATAGGTGCGTCGTAGGGGGGGGGGGTTTGTTTGTTTTGTTGGTGCTTTTTTGCTTTTTCCTTTACTTATCGAAGGTTAGGGGGGGTGGGGGGAATGAGGTCACTCAATTAGAGATGATTCGGCGGCTTTTTAATGCACGCCAAAGTGTGTATTTGTACACCAGCCGGTGACCGACTGGTCGTTGTGAATTATGTATACAACAAATCTCTCCCTCCGATGGTGCTTCTTTTTTTTTTTTTCCTTTCTCGAAGCAAAAAAAAAAAAAAACGTGCAAGAGCGCTTAATCTGGCGATCGGCTACCCCGAGGAATTTCATTCACGGCCGAAGGTCCTTTACCGACAAAATCGTTTGCAGGTCGGAGTTTGGGCTCGTTAAATGTTACGGACGATTCGAAAATCGGATGAATCTGCGGGTAGGGGATTCATCGCGCGAATTTAAAAGATAAAATGGCCCAACCCATATACCGTATGGTATATATATGGTAAGTTTGGCGAATTGTCCCTTTCTTCTTTTTCCTTGTACACAAAGGGTATACGGTTAGCCCACGTCGACCCCCTCTCGCAGCAGCTCTCTCCGCGAGTCAATATTTGACAAGGGTATAACGCTATACGGCCAGTGTCACACAACGCGGGGGATCGACTTTGAATCGACTTGTCTCGCTCTTTCGTTTGTCTCCTTTCTGTACGTTTTTCTCTATTATTGTGTACATATACAGGTACACATTATTATTTATCCCCCCCCCTCCCCAATCCTTTCCACACCTATGTGTATGTCGCGATGTATGGGTATATACTTGCGCTTGCCGATTTGTGGATAATAGTTGATGGCGTGGTTTCGTGAAACATGTCGTATACGTGATGGACGTGGTTGACGAAAAGTAGGTTACTCCCCGAGTACGCGTGTACCTACTCGGGCAGTTGTCTTGTGTTTGGTAATTACGAGCTTCGGGTGCAGGTGTGTAAGTACACCCGTAAGAGAAATTTTAATGCCTCGTTGAAAATTTTATGGCCAGCTAGCGACGAACGAGCCTTCGTTGGGACGGAAAATCCATCCGTCGACTTGACACAGTTTTGGATTTAACCGAGGAAGACTTTATTCATTCGTCAATGACGGAGATCGATGAGGAATAAAGCCACGAGGAGTGGATAATCGCGAAAATTCGTTGCTTTCGCGCGAAATCAAAACTCTTGGCTTTTTTTTTTTTTTTTGTATGATTATATTTTTAATTTGATGGTGTACGAGACATTGGACGTCACCGACAACCATGTGGCACTTGTGTAACTGGCAAATTATCAAAACCACAACAGGTGGTGGGTAACAACTCGTGCCTTACTCATTGTTTCATGAAATAAATTTTAAAACGGAAAGACAAACTAGTCGATATATTCAAATATTTAAGGGGTTCCAAGTCATATGTAAAGAACATTTTTATCCACTAACGATATCATTAAATTAATATATGTATATCATCGTACCTAGACATATAATTACAACTAGAGCCTATACATGTGAAAAAGTTGTGTACACGTACATAAGTCGTATAGTTTATGTTGAAAAACTGATGGGAAATCATAATATCAATCATCCGGTTGATTTTCCCAACCACATTTATTATGAATTAATCCGATGACTAAATCAGAATTAAATATTTGAAGTTTACATTTTTCAAGGAGCGTGATGCCTTCGATTGAACAAAAAACCTGTTGCCTCGAAAACTCAACTTTGACCAAACTTTGTCGAGGCTTTTACGTGCAGAATTAAAGAGGCCATCAAGTTAGTTCTTGGAAGCGCCTAATCACACGTAAAGCGTCAACAATTCACAAGTCGTCCATCACCGTGTCATCACGTGCGCGGGTGGTGTAGTAACATAGAGACAGCAAGTATAGGTGTACGAGAGTGTGTGAGTGCAGGGTACTTGGTCGAGTGCATAAATATATGGGTGTGTAATGTGTATATATATATATATGCAAAGGTGCAATGTACATGTGCGCACATAGTAATACGGCCGCCACTTGACATTGAACCTCCGCGGCTTGATGGCTATAGAGTCCCCTACATACATATACGTACACGCCCAACTGTATACAATATGTTTCATCGCTCGGAGACACATGTGACACTTTAGTTTGTCAAGGCTATAATATACTTACCTCCGTGTCACAGTTGCACGTACACATAATATATACACATGTGTTGTACATATACAAACCATAAAGACGCACGTGAGACGGTCTGCGTGTCTCTGTTGCGTAGGTTGATACGAATGGAACATTGTATAGGAATGTTTCTTTTTTTTTTCCCCTAACTTTCAATGGATGTCAACACTTGTATAATTGTTACATGTACCTAGGTATATTTTATACCAAATTTCCTTCTTTATTGTATTCTCTTTAACTGCGCGTAACTTGTCTTTTTTTTCCCCCCCTAATACATAATGTTGTTGTAATGTATACGTATGCTGTGTACGGTGTACTTGTGGAGAGTACGACTGGTAAGTTTCAATGAAAAATTGGGGGAGAATTGCAGGGGAGAGGAAAGATATCGATTTTTACGAAAACAGATCAGTGACTGGCGATCGTCGAATTTCGTTTTACATTTTTATTATTCTTTGTCGTCTTGTTATTAAAAATCATGGGTAAGGGAATACGTTCACAAGATCACAATTGTAAGGTAAGAGCCAAAAAACGGGGATCCAGCATTAATATCAGGTATGATCGGTAAAAAAGCAAGAGACCACGGAAATTAGTAGAAAAAATCGTTTCTTGACAAAAAAAAAAAAAAAATGATATCATAGTGCTAAGTCGAGTACTGCTTGCACCGTTTGCTTACTCTTTTTGGAAAATTAATGTTTGCAGGTATTATGTAACACTTATTGTTAATCACAAGTCGACGTTACAGCTGTGAACACAAAAATAATGGACGTATGGACAAATTTCCTCGCGATCTGTCACTTTTTGCTTTGGACAAAAAGTCGTGAAAACAGCACTAGCTCGAAAAGCGACAAAACAATAAAGGATGAATAGCAACAACGTAGCATAAAATATATGGTATCGATCAAGAAAATAAGAGAGGAACAAAAAAAAATTTCCTGTAACTCGGAAGCGTCACGTGAATGTTTTGTAATCATGTGGTATGAAAAAAAAAAAAAAAAAAAAAGCAGTAGTCATTTTTCTTAATCATTTCGGCTTCGAAATTCACCGTGAAGATTTACCTCGATACCGTATACACATCTCCAACTTTGTTGCCACTAACTAATAGCGCTATATGAGCACAATAGCCGCAGGAGATAAAATCGGCACTATATACACAGTTGCGCGAAAATCGCGCATATTTCATACGACACAGCAATGTAGAACGTGACGATTGCCAGGGTAAGGGTATGCATGCGTACAAGCTTGCCGAAATACCATCAGTGGTGGTGCGACAATGGACGAATGTAATTGGTTGCCGATGAATAAATAATCAAAACCATGTTGACAGGTTGTACGTGTGTGTACAGGCACGCGTAAACACATGATAACGAACAAATCGAAAAAGTCAAGCTTGCTCGAAAAGCCAGTATACATGTATATACAAATACACGCTCACTCGTGCCCGTCGCACAAGATACATAGCGAACTACACCATCTACTCCCCCCCCCCCCCAACACCATTACGTCAAGCTAAAAAACATCGTTCATTTCCATCGCCACACATGTAACAACGAACTTTATACGTATGCATGCGTAAAACCAACACGGGGTCGAATAGGAGAAATACAAGTAGAACTGGTCGAGCGTATGGTCAGACGGTGTAGAGCGAAGACCCGTACATGTACTTGCAATGTATATTATATACGTAACGCGTGTAGGTACGGTATAATACAACCGAAGAAAATCGAGGAATCCAGTAAATATGAGTGTGTACGTATATGCCGGGATAGTGGAAAAAAAAAAAAAAAAAAAAAAAAAAAAAAAAGGGTGGCACGTAGACGCGTGCGCAGTGTCGAGTAACCCATGGCTACCGATTTCA